ACGGGGGGGACAGGGACATTGTGGAGGGGTGAGACCGCCCCCCCACCGCCCGGGTGGGCTGGCTCGAATATGTCCCCTGCGTGTGCCCCCCCACGACGTTCCCTGCATGTCCCAAACGTGTCCCAAATGAGTCCCCCCACCTCCCCGATGTGTCCCCTCGTGGTGTCCCCAGCGTGTCCCAAACGTGTGCCCAAGACATCCCCCTCCCCCGGCGTGTCTCCAACACCTCCGTCCAGCGTGTCCCCGTGGTGTCCCCTGCGTGTCCCCCCCCACGACGTTCCCTGCATGTCCCAACGTGTCCCAAATGAGTCCCCACCCGCCGGTGGTGTCCCCAGTGTGTGCCCTCCCCACGGCGTTCCCTGCATGTCCCAAACGTGTCCCAAATGAGTGTGTCGTCCCCTCCCCCGGGCGCGTCCCCTCGTCGTGTCCCCTGCGTGTCCCCGTGGTGTCCCCAGCGTGTCCCCGTGGTGTCCCCAGCGTGTCCCCAACACCCCGTGAAGTGCCCCCCACGTCCACAAAGTGTCCCTTCAATGTGTGTCCCTCCCTTTTCCCCCACGGTGTCCCCCCGGTCCCCTGACGCTGTCGCCGTCCCCAGGACGACCCCATGGCCATGACGACGCACGAGCTGCCCGGCTCCGCTGTCGCCTTCTCGGTGACGGGGCTGTCCCCGGGCCGCCCCTTCGAGCTGCTGGTCCAGGCGCGGCGGGGGCCACACCTGGGAGCGGCGGGGACGCTGCGGCTGCGCACGGGTGGGGACACACGGGGGGGAGGGGACACAGGGATGGCACGGGGGGGGGACACCTGGGACAAACGGGGTCACCGCGGGAACAAACTGGGACGCCGCGGGGTACAAGGGTGGGAGGGACGGAGGCGGGGCTGGGGACATCGTGGGGACGCGGATGGGAGTGGGGGAGGGAGGGACAGAGGGTGGGGTGACCTGGGGACAGGGGTGGGGACAGGGATGGCACAGTGTCACAGTCGGGGGGACAGGGATGATGGAGACAGCCCAGATATGTGGCCAAGGGGTGGCACAGGGGTGGCACAGGGATGGGGATGGGAAAGGGGTGGGGATGGCACAGGGATGGGGATGGAACAGGAGTGGCAGAGAGGTGGTGACACAGGGGTGGCACAGGAGTGGGGATGGGACAGGAGTGGCACAGGGGTGGCGATGGCACAGGGGTGGCCATGGCACAGGGGTGGCACAGGGGTGGGGATGGCACAGGGGTGGGAGTGGGACAGCTGTGAGGACAGCGTGGCACGGAACAGGGATGGGTTGGCACAGGAATGGGGTTGGGGACAGCGATGGCACGGCTGTGGGGATGGGGACAGGAATAGAGACAGGCACGGTAGGGGGACAAGGAAAGGGGGGGTGGCACGGGCATGGGGACAGCAGTGACATGGACGTGGGTACAGGGGTGGGAATGGCACAGAGGTCACAGGCTTGGGGATGGGGTTAGGGACACACAGAGGGAGAGCATGGGGATGACCCAGGGATGGGGACAGGGTTGGGAATGGGGACAGGCTTGGGAATGGGGACAGGGACAGGGGTGTCCTCGCAGGACTCTTGGGATGGGTTGGTGACCCCGGTCCCCTCTGCTCCACAGCTCTGGTCCCGGCTGTGCCCCCCCACGAGGGGTCCCCTCAGGGCTCCCTGGGGTCCCCAGCGGTGGCACCATCGGCCCGAGGGTCCCCAGGGTCGCTGGGGTCCCCGGGGTCACCAGCATCACCCGCATCACCAGACGTGTCCCTGGGGTCACACGTGGCTCTGGGATCACCGGCGTCCCCCAGGGTCCCAACATCCCCCGTGGGTCGAGGGTCCCTGGGATCCCCAGCGCCCCCCAGGTCACCGGGGTCACCAGAATCCCCAGAATATCCGAGGTCCCCAGTGTCACCAGAGCTCCCAAGGTCACCAGTGTCACCAGAATTCCCAGGGTCACCAGTGTCACCAGAGCTCCCATGGTCCCCCATGTCACCAGCATCCCCAGAATCTCCGAGGACACCGGTGTCACCAGAGTCTCCAGCATCCCCGGTGTCACCAGAGTTCACAAGGTCCCCAGTGTCACCAGAATTCCCAAGGTCCCCAATGTCACCAGAATCTCTGGGGTCAGTGGTGTTACCAGATTTGTGGCCAGCATCCCCAGAACCCCCGAGGTTCCCAGAGTCACCAGTGCCTCCAGTGTCCCCAGGGTCACCTCCATCCCCACAGTCCCTGGCACCCTCAAAGTCCCCAGTGTCCCCAGAGTCCCCGTGGTCCCAGCTGTCCCCGTGGTCCCCGCTGTCCCCAGGGATCCCCTCCCTGCAGGAACTGCTGACTCGACTGTCCCCGTATGGAGGGTCCCTCCTCCAGCGGCTCGAGAGCCACCTCCGGGCCATCAACTACCCGCTCCGGGGCAACCAGACGGTGCCGGCGGTGGCCAAGGCCATCCTGGAGTACATCCTGCGCCGGCACCAGGCCCTGGGGAAGGGACAGGAACACCCCCCAAAACCCCGAGAGGACGGGACCCTCCTGGGGACCACAGGTGGGTGACACCTTGGGAATGGGGGGGGACGTTGGGAAGGGGTGTCCTGGGGAGAAGGGACGGGAGGGGGACAGGGATGGGGAGAAAGGGACACCCCAGTGAGGAGTTGGGGGTTGGTGACAGAGACACCACCAGGGGAGGGGAAGGGGGAGAAGAAGGGGATGAGGATGAGGGATGAAGGGGATGGGGGAAGGGGGAGAAGGAGGGAATGAGGTTGAGGAGTGAAGTAGAAGGGGGAGAGGAAGAGGGATGAGGTTGAGGGGTGAAAGGGAAGGGGGAGAAGGGGGATGAGGTTGAGGGGTGAAGAGGATTGAGGAAGGGACATTTTGGGGATTGGGGGGAGGTCAGGGAGGAAGGGATATCTGAAAAGTAAGAGGATGGGGTGGGGGGGACAGGGGAAGGAACATCCTGGGGAGGGAGATGAAGGAGGGGGGGTGGAAGAGAAGTGGAGTAACGCCTGCTGTGGGGGCAGGGGAGAGTGGGAATTGGGAGCTGACGCTGCTGTGGGGGGACACTGACGGGATGCAGCTGATGGAGCCGCGGAGGGACGTGAAGAAAACAGGTACCCCATGGGGGGTGGGAGATGGGATGGGGGAACAGGGGGGTGATGGCTGAAGGGTGAGTGGGTAGAAGGATGGAGAGACTGATGGTTGGAGACATGAAGGGAAGAAGGGATGGGTGGAGAGAGGGAGGGATAAGGGGGAAAAGGTGATGGAAGGGCTGGAGGGAGGGATTGATGGGTGATGCATGGACACGTGGATGGAAGCACAGATGGCCACGCCCACACTGTCTCCACTCCACTGCAGTTGCAGCTGAGGCAGAAGAGCCGCCCCAATCCAAGCCAGTCCTGGGTGAGCTCCATGTCACCAGCATCACCCCCAACTCCGTGGACCTGCAGTGGAGTGTCCCCGAGGGCCCCTTCGACTCCTTCACGCTGCAGTACCGGGATGCCCAGGGCCAGCCCCAGGCCCTGCCCATGGATGGCGGGTCCCGCTGGGTGACGGTGCCGGGGCTGTCCCCGTCCCGCCGGTACCGCTTCCACCTCTACGGGCTGCGGGGCGGGAAGAGGATCGAGCGCGTCTCCATCGACGTCTCCACGGGTGAGGGGGAAGGGCACAGGGAGGAAGGATTGGAGAGATGAATTTTGGGACAGAGGGAGGGATGGAGAGACAGACACAGGGATGGACAAGGGATGAACGAGTGGGTGGAGGGGTGGAGGATTCATGAATAGAAGGATGGACTGATTTACACTGGGATCATTGGAGAACTGGACAGTGACAGGATGGATGGAGAGATGGGTGGATGGAGGGTAAGTGAATGAATGCACCGGTGGGAAGGTGGGTGGAAGAAGCCTGGATGGATGGGTGGATGTGTTGATGGATGAATGGATGGATGGATGGATGCCTCAGGAGATGGAGTTACGTTGGGAAGGATGGATGGAGGACGGATGATGGTGATTGTTGGTCAGTGGGCAGATGGGAAGTATCAGTCATTTAACAGATGTTTTTTGGGATTGGTGGGCACTTGATGGTGGGTGATGATATGGTTGGGGAGAAGGAGCAGTGAGGGGAACTGGGCTGGGAAACTGGTGAGAGGTTGGGGGTGGGAGGATGTCTGGAACCTCGGGAGGGTGGGGAAATGGAGGGATTGGTGGTTGGTTGGGTGGCTGGATGATGGATGTTGATGAAGGTGATGATGAATGGTGAATGGATGATGATGATGGAGGTGGTGATGGTGGATAAGATTGGTGTTGGTCAGTAGGTGGGTGGAAGGCTCAAAGGTTGACTGGTCAGTTCTGTGGTCAGTGGCTGCTCCATGGTGGGTGGGGATGGGATGGTGGGGAGAGGGTGGGGGCAGACGGTGGATGATGGATAAAGGATGGTTGGGTGGATGTTGGATGGGCATGTGGATGGACCTGTGGCTGCAGATGTTCATCACCTTCCCGTCTGTGTTGCTACCACAGCTGACCCAGATGAGCTGCTCCCACCCTCGAAGGAGCCCCAAACTGAGGCCTCCACAACAGAGGCACCTCTGGCTGAGGACCCCAAAACTGAGGCTCCCCCACCTGAGACGCCCCCAGCGCGGGCAGTGCTTGGGGAGCTGAGGGTCTCCAGCGTCACCCCCAGCTCTGTGGGGCTGCAGTGGAGCGTCCCCGAGGGCCCCTTCGACTCCTTCACGCTGCAGTACCGGGATGCCCAGGGCCAGCCCCAGGCCATGCCTATGGATGGCGGGTCCCGCTGGGTGACTGTGCCGGGGCTGTCCCCGTCCCGCCGGTACCGCTTCCACCTCTACGGGCTGCGGGGCGGGAAGAGGATCGAGCGCGTCTCCATCGACGTCTCCACAGGTGAGGGGGAAGGGCAGAGGGATGACCTGATCATGGGATCCCAACCCCATCTCATTCCCACCCACGGTCAAGGAACCAATGAGCTTGGTACCATCCAATTGATCACTGACCCTTCAACCACCCATTGACCAACACCTGCCATCATCCCCCATCCTCTTCATCATTCCCCATCACCACAATGATCTTCACCCATCATCATTATTCTCATTTGCCATCCATTGACATAATCATCATCATCTATCTTTATACGCAATCCATCTTCATCCATCATCATCATCATCATCGTTGTCATCGTCCATCCATGACGGATCAGGAACAGGATGGCTGAATGGATTCCGGACTGGATGGTTGGTGGGTTCCTGTCCAACCATGGAAGAAATTGGAATGATTGATAAGTGGTTGGATGAAATTTGATAGGTGGATGAGTGGTTGGATGGCCATGGGGCAGCTGGGATGGATGGATGGAGGGTCCCTGGTTCCCGATGCTGGTGGTGTTGGATGGAAAATGTTGTGTGTAAAACGGGGGTTAGTGGCAGGGGGAGGCCTGAGGGGATTTGTGGAGAAGAGGCTGGAGAGACGGATGTGGGATTAGGTGAGTGTTGGGTTGGGTGTTGGGTTGGGTGTTGGGTTGGTGATGGGATGGATGGAGGGATGGAGGGATGGAGGGATGGATAAATGGGTGGGTGGATGGATGGATGGACGGACGACTGGCTGGCTGGCTGGCTGGCTGGAAGCAGGGATGGATGGATGGTTGGAAGCATGGATGGGTGGTTGCATCCTCAGGTGACTAATTGGCCATTGAATGACTTAATGTGTGGTTGGAGCCTGAGTGGATCTTGGGGTTTATTGATCCATTGATTGGTGTGAGGGAGAAAGGTAATGGAGAGGGGATGTAGGGAGGGAAATGCGATGGATGGAGATCAGATGGGGGCTCCTGGATTGGATGGGTGGATGGGTGGAGTGGGGCTCTCAGGATGGGTCTGTGGATGATGGGGTGGATGGATGGATGAAGTAATGGATGAAGTAATAGATAGATGGATGGAGGGATGCATGGATGGATGGAGGGATAGACAGATGGATTGGTGGAGGGAAGGATGGTTGATTGTTCATGGATGGAAGGAGACACTGATGGATGGATGATAAATGAAAATTGGGTAAATGATGGATGCAGACATGTATGGCCATGCCCATCACCCCCCCCTCTCCATTACAGCTCCAGCTGTGCCAGAGGAACCGCCCCCACCCTCAGAGGAGCCCCAACCCGAGGCCCCTAAAACTGAGGCTCCCCCACCTGAGGTGCCCCCAGGGCGGGCAGTGCTGGGGGAGCTGAGGGTCTCCAGCATCACCCCCAACTCCGTGGGGCTGCAGTGGAGTGTCCCCGAGGGCCCCTTCGACTCCTTCACACTGCAGTACCGGGATGCCCAGGGCCAGCCCCAGGCCCTGCCCATGGATGGCGGGTCCCGCTGGGTGACGGTGCCGGGGCTGTCCCCGTCCCACCGGTACCACTTCCAACTGTATGGGCTGCGGGATGGCAAGAGGATCCACCACGTCTCCACTGAGGCCACCACAGGTGAGGAGGAATTGTAGAGGGATGGGTTGATCATGGAATCCCATCCCCATCTCATTCGCACCTACCATCAAGAACCCAGTGAGCTCGGTACCATCCAATTGATCACTGACCCTTCAACCACCCATTGACCAACACCTGCCATCATCCCCCATCCTCTTCATCATTTCCCATCATCACCCATAATTGTTGTTCTCATTCACTATCCATCGATATGATCATCATCATCCATCTTTATCCATCATCATCATCATTGTCCATCCATGATGGATCAAGACCAGAACAGCTGAATTGATCCTGGACTGGATGGTGGGTGGGTTCCTGCCCAGATGGATGGAGGGTCCCTGGTTCCCGATGCGGGTGATGTTGGATGGAAAATGTTCTGTGTAAAATGGGGATTGATGGTGGTGGAGACCTGAGGGGATTTTTGGAGAAAGAGCCGGAGAGATGGATGTGGGATTGGGTGAGGGTGGGGTTGGTTTTGGGTGAGTGATGGAATGGATGGATGGATGGAGGGATGGATGGATGGAGAGATGGATGGATGGAGAGATGGATGGATGGAAGGATGGATGGATGGATGGATGGATGGATGGATGGAT